GTTGTTTTGGCGGGTCCGGGCTGGGGATTCGAACCTGCCACCTTAGGTGTATGTGGCTGGTGCCTTAGCCGGTTGAGCTATAGGCGCCGAGCCTTAATTAATTTCTTAATAGAAAACTTTTCTCCACTATGAATTTCTTCTTTTAATTACAGGAGAAATTTTTTTTTTTTAATCCAACAGATGAGAACAATACCTCAAGCTACTTAAGAAGAAACGTTCTGGCTTTCCATGATCAGAACATTCTCCGGGGCACAGCATGCAGGATTATAGCTGATGCTCTCAGCAGTGAGCCAGCTTGCCTTGCTGGACTCGAGGATAGCAAGGCTAGAAAGATTTGGGACCTCTCTGGGTGCAGCTCTGAGAGTACTGAGAAGGTAAGGAGAGCAGAAATGAGTGTCTCCAGCTGTGTGCCGTGCAGCCTCTCTCACGTGCCGGCTGCTTCTGACATGCCGTCTCTCTCTGATATGCTATCTCTCTCTCACGTGCCAGCTGTCTCTGACGTGCCTTCTGTCTCCCTCTGACATGCCAGCTGTCTCTGACATGCCGTCTCTCTCTGACGTGCGATCTGTCTCTGATCATGCCGTCTCTCTCTGACATGTGGTCTGTCTCTGATGTGCCAGCTATCTCTGACGTGCTGTCTCTCTCTGATGTGCCGACTGGCTCTGACATATGGTCTGTCTCTGATGTGCTGTCTCTCTATGACATGCTAGCTGTCTCTGATGTGCCATCTCTTTCTGATGTGCCAGCTATCTCTGATGTGCCATCTCTCTCTGACGTGCCAGCTGTCTCTGACGTGCCAACTGTCTCTGACGTGTGATCTGCCTCTGATCGTGCCGTCTCTCTCTGATGTGCCGGCTGGCTCTGACATGTGGTCTGTCTCTGATGTGCCATCTCTCTGATGTGCTGTCTCTCTGATTTGCTGTCTCTGACGTGCTGTCTCTCTCTAATGTGCCATCTCTCTCTAATTTGCTGTTTCTCTCTGACGAGCCGTCTGTCTGATGTGCCATCTCTCTCTGATGTGCCATGTCTCTCTGATATGTGGTCTGTCTCTGATGTGCCATCTCTCTCTGATGTGCCATCTCTCTCTGATTTGCCATCTGTCTCTGACGTGTCGTCTCTCTCTGATGTGCCGTCTCTCTGATGTGCCATATCTCTGATTTGCCGTCTCTCTCTGACATGTGGTCTGTCTCTGACGTGCTGATGTGCCGTCTCTCTGATTTGCCGTCTCTCTCTGACATGTGGTCTCTCTCTGACGTGCCGTCTCTCTGACGTGCCGTCTCTCTCTGATGTGCTGTCTCTCTCTGACATGCGTGCTGTCCCCAGGCTACAGCACTGTGATAATCAGAGCGTCACTTGTGTTTCCAAAGTGTATTTGACAGTTATGCACAGCCAAATTTCTTAGGCCGAAAATTGTACTCCATGTGTTTCCTGTTTGTTTGAATGATAGAGATTTTTTTATTATTAAAAGTGAGGGGTTTTTTTGTTTGTTTGTTTTTAATTTTCGTTGGAATGGTGTAGACAGTTCTTTCCTGACTTACTAATGAAATTTAACCATCAGTCACCATTCATATGTGCCATTCAGCTTGTGGGATGAATCAGCCTCTTCTTACATTACTTAGGGCCTACTTTGCTTAGCTTTTTTCAGATTATTTTGTTTTTTTGATGGTTATCTGTTTCCTCTTCATGTCTCCTATCTGGCCTCACTTTAGTTCTCTGGCCTTGCCTCCTTTCTCTGAGACATCACTAGAATTTGGGCAGATGTCAACATGGGGAGCCAGTCCCATCTCTATCTTCAGTCTGCCCTGAGCCCCAGCCCTGCTGACGTGCTCCAGCTCTGTGTGGTTGAGCTATCTGGCCTATCCTTGGCTGTCTCATGTTTGTCTGGCTGGTGGCTGTGTGCTTAGGATCTTACTGGAACTGCTTAGTCCTTCACAACCAGGACATATTCTCCTTTTTCCAGTTAACTCGCTTCCAGTGTTATTTTGGAGCTGTTGATCTGCTTATGACTCACAAACAAGTGAAAGTAGAGCAGGTGGAGATAGCTTGTGTGGAACTCATGGGTTTCCTGAGGGCTTTATGAATTCTAGGTGATTGCGGGTCTGTACCAGAGAGCGTTCCATCACCTCTCCACGGCTGTGCAGATGGCTGAAGAAGCTCAGCCTTCCTCCTGGGACCATGGGCCTACAGCTGGGGTGACTAAGGCCTACATGATGCTGGTGGATTTCTGTGACCAGCAGCTCCGCCGGGAGGAAGAAAATGCAGCAGGTGAATTGAGAAACATAAAAACAAGTTAATGTTCATTCATTTATATTGGTATTGGCATAATGTCCTAAAAATTTTGTAGATACTTCTAGTTTCCTACTTGTTTTTAAATGACAAATACTGTGAGAGAAATTTATTGTCTTTTAAGAGACATTGGTATCTCCAAGCAACATGAGCTGCATTTTTTGTTCAGTCAAGCTGTGTCCTCTGTGTTTTCATTTGCTTAATTTATACTTTGATATTTTGCTTGCAGCTTCAGTATTATTGATGCACTTGGCCTGCCTCTTGCTCCTGGAGCAAATTCTGTAAGCAGCAGCTGCCTGTTCTTAGCCCAGGATACAAATGGAGCCCCAGGCAGAAGGGGCTTCCAGGGAGGGTTCTCAACATGGAAACATGTTGATCTGAAGTAGTAGCTTGGAAGCAAACAGTGGCATACTACAAAATAAACCAGAAAGGAAAAGGGTACTTGATTGTTAAATTTACCCTTTATGTAAACACTGACTGTTGTCTTGTTCTTAACAGTTATTGACTCTGTAGAGCTGCAGGCGTATCCAGCACTTGTGGTGGAAAAAATGTTGAAAGCTTTAAAATTAAATTCCAATGAGGCCAGGCTGAAGTTTCCTAGATTACTTCAGATTATAGAACAGTACCCAGAAGAGACCTTGAGCCTAATGACAAAAGAGGTTGGTATCTTTATTCTAGTGTGTGGAAAGGGGCTTTACAGAATTTAAGACAGATTCTTCTGTCCAAACATGTTGGTGTGTACAGTGCATATATTACAGCTTTTCCCAGCCAGTACTGAGTTTTTCAGAACCAGAGTGAGAGGGAACAAACCAGAGTGGAAATGGTGGGGAATGAGGAAATAAAACACACAAGAGACAAAGATGGGATTGGAGGACTGGAGCAGCTAAGACTGTAGCCACCACTGAACTGTGAAAACAGTTTTATTATGTAGTATCTAAACAAAGTCACTTATCTTAACAAAGTTGCTTGCTAAAGGGATTGATCTAATACATGGAGTAAATAATGTGCCTTCAGGCAAAAGATAAAAGGGAAAGTATGCAGGGGCTACTCAACTTCTGGCAGAGGAGAAAAGCAAGTTGTTGTTCAAGAAGAAGCAGTTACAGTGGTTCCTTGAGCATCTCCCTAGGCTGTGGGGGGTCTTACCTCCTCACAGCTGTACTCCACACTGAGTTCTGCTACATTCTAACATTCTAAGAACATAGGTAGTGAAGAACAGTATAAGGCTGGGTGTGGTAGCTCACTCCCAGCACTCTGGGAGGCTGAGGCACATGGATCACTTGAGCTCAGAAGTTTGAAACCAGCCTGAGTAAGAGTGAGACCTCGTCTCTACTAAAAATAGAAAAAAAAAAAAATACTAGCCATGCATTATGATAGGCATCCGTAGTCCCAGCTACTCAGGTGGCTGAGGCAAGAGCATCACTTGAGCCCAGGGGTTTGAGGTTGCAGTGAGCTATGATGCCACATGACAAAGTGAGATTCTGTCTCAAAAAAACAAACAAACAAAAAAAAAAAACAAAAAAGCCCCATGATGTAAAAGACTATTCACATTTACCTCTTTTAATTTAATTTTACCTCTTTTAATTTTACCTCTTTTAATTTAATTTAATTTTAATTACCTCACATTTTCCTCTTTGGATGTCAATAAGAATACTCTCTGAACGAGGACCCATGGAAATGGAAGAGGTTGGATGTGAGGGGACAAGACAGGATCTGTGTGGAGCAGTTTGCTGCCTGAGCAGACCCAGCTGTTGTCTGTAACATCAGCTGGTGCCTCCTACCCAGTCTGGCGTTGAACCCAAAGGCAGGAGTGGTTTCAGCTTGCATCCCACCTCCTGATGAATGTAGTGCCACCAGCAGCCCTGTGGCTGAAGGGATTGGAGCCCGTGAGTGTGTGCAGGGAGTGCATATGAGGGCATGGAGCAGCCTGTACCTTACCACCTGCTCCTCGCCCACCCAGCATGGCCCTGGCTGACTGTACTCCTGTCCTTGGGGCCCAGCCTGTGGCTGGAAAGGGTTCCCTGGCTTCCTCTGCACAAGGGACAAACCCGTCCAAGTTTCCCTGTTACTGACCATGGTGGACATGTAACCAGAAATCAGGGCCAGCCTTTGAGAATCGAATAATTGAGAAAGGGGCACATGGTACTCTCAGCTTCACATGGTCAGTTTTTAAATAATTGCAGTCTCCAAGCTGTGGGACCCTGGGTGACTGTCAGGGCCCTAACTGCACCTACCACCTTGTGTGGATTCTGAAGAATGGGAGCTTAAATTAAAAAATGTAGCACGTACATGTTTTTCCTAAAGATAACTGAAAAAAAATAGTTAAATAACTATCATGACTTTGGTTTTTTCTAAAATAATGTTTATATATGATAAAAATAACATTTTGCATTTTAGGAAATGAGCAGAGTATTGAGTCAGTGTGGTCGTGACATCTGGTAGATGCCGCGGCCTGCAGCTATTGGCTGCCATCGCTCCCAGGAGTTGTGTGTGCTAACTCATCTCCTCCTTGCCCCCTCCATGCTGTCCACAGTTCACAGGTCTGTTAGGAAGCTTGCCTCTCTCATGCTGGCATTCCAAGGACAGCAGATCTTACCTTTTAATACCTTAAAAGTATTATAGGAAATATGAACATATTTTAAATGGTCTCAGAATAGAGACAAAAACCAAAAGCTATGAACAAAAAAATAATTCAACAGTTCTATACAGAAAATGAAAATGCTGGGCCAGGCAAGGTGTCTCACGCCTATAATCCCAACACTCTGGAAAGCTTGACTTCAGGAGTTCAAGACCAGACTGAACAAGAGCAAGACCCTGTCTCTGCTAAAAATAGAAAGTCAAGGTGGGCACCTGTAGTCCCAGCTACTTGGGAGGCTGAGGTGGGAGGTTTGCTTGAACCCAGGAGTTTGAGGTTGCTGTGAGCTAGGCTGACATCACTGCACTCCAGCCTGGACAACAGAGCAAAGTCCTATCTCCCCTCCCTGCCCCCCCCCCAAAAAAGGAAAAGAAATTGCCACATACAAACTTTTTTTTAAAAATGGAAAAAAAAATTGCAGCACAGAGAAGAGTGCTGAAGTAAATGATCAAGGGAAATCCAAGCACGATTAAAGTATGTAAGACAATTAAACATGGAATGTTCAGCCTCACTAATTAATGAAATGTGCAAATTCAGACATTTTTCAGTTAGGCAATGATTTTAAAAGGACATCGTGGTCCACTGTGGGTAAGGATTTTGGAAAATAGTTTGATGCTTTTAGAAATGAAAATTTGAAAAATGTTCTTGGAAGTAAATCTAACAGTGTTTCCTACAATGGTTAAGATTCACACTATAATTTTCTAGACATTTATCCTGTAGGTATACAGCACAGACGCAAAGAATCATGTAAGTTGGGAAATCTAAGCAGCATTAGCAGACAACTGGAAAATGCCCTCAGTATTCATTATACAGCAGTGGTTAAGTACCAGATAGGATAAATCTGTTTGTACATATAAGAGAAACCATCACGTCTAAAACAATTCCTATCCTGTTGGAGGAGGGCATATGCACATTCACAGAAAATGGGAGAATCTGTGGTTTCCTCAGCTAAAGATATGTGGGAGAGAAGGCTTTTTATTTTACACTTCTGGGTTTTATGTTACTCTATAAGTTGTATGTTGAATGTCATGCTCTGTGTAGAGCCTCATCCTCTGTATTGCAGATGTCTTCTGTCCCATGCTGGCAGTTCATTGGCTGGACCAGCCACATGGTGGCCCTGCTGGACAAGGAAGAGGCTGTGGCCGTGCAGCACACTGTGGGGGAGATTGCCGACAACTACCCACAGGCCATTGTGTACCCGTTTATAATAAGCAGTGAGAGCTTTTCCTTCAGAGATACTTCTGCTGGTCATAAGAATAAGGAGTTTGTGGCAAGGTGATATTACAGAAAAATTAGGTTGATCAGATAACAGTTTTTAAAACGTGTGTGGTATAAAGCAAGCATATGTAAGCTTTTGTTTGAACAGAAAATCTTATGTATCTGTTTGTTGAATCTATCTACTCTGAGCACAGGCAGTCCCCAGCTTACAAATGAGATAGGTTCTCTAGGTTTGTTCTTAACCTGAATTTGTATGTAGGCTGGAACAGGTCCATTTACCTATAATAGCCTCCATTCATAAGTGGGAGCCACACGTCAGTCAGGTGTTTGTAACTTGGGGACTTACTGTAATAGACTCCATTTGTGTGAGTGTACCTAGGTCAGATGTTTATAACTTGGGGATTGCCTGTATGCTACTTGGTTTTAAACTACTTTTCATCTTACAATATTATTCATACAGCATGCTACCCTTACATTCACAGTCATCAATCTGTTGAGACAGACTAGATGGGATACATTTTGAAATCAGCTCCTGAAATTGTCCTTTAATTTAAAACATACAAGAAGAACTGTCTTCTTGGTGAGGACTAGTAGACTGCCTGACCTGCCATCTGCTCACTTCTTCAGTTGATTCATGAGTGGAGGCAGTTTTTGTCAAGCACTGGTACTTTGCACCCCCCAAATACTTTGTAAATGTATGATGTTCAGTTTGGCTCCATCAAGATTTTTTTTGGTCATTAGTTGATTAGCCTCATTATTTCGAGTGTTTGGTCCTAGGGAGACAAGAAGAGCAAGGTCCAGCTTTTGTGAAAGTTTGGTGCTGGCTTGGCCATGTACCTGCCATCTGCTACATCTCACAGAAAACTGCAGCAGAGCTGTCTATTTAAAAATTAAAGAAGAGGCCTCGCACAGTGGCTCATGCCTATAATCCCAGCACTCTGAGAGGCTGAAGCCAGTAGTTTGCTTGACCTCAGGAATTCAAAACCAGCCTGGGCAAAAGTGAGACATTGTACAAGAAATAGAAAAAAATGAACTGGGTGTTGTGGAAGGTGCCTATAGTCCCTTGAGGCAAGAAGATTGTTCAGGCCAAAGAATTTGAGGTTGCTGTATGCTCTGACACCACAGCACTCTATACGGGGGGTCGGGGGGGAGCTTACAAATGAGATAGGTTCTGCAGGTTTGAGACTCTGTATCAAAATAAATAAATAATTAAAAAAATAAATATCAAAGGAGAGAGAAACATTTGAAAGAGAGTATGGGCTCAGTGCCCATAGCATAGTGGTTATGGCGCTGGCCACATACACCAAGGCTGGCTGGTTCGGACCTGGCCCGGGCCAGCTAAACAATAATGACAACTGCAATAAAAAAAATAGCCGGGCGTTGTGGCTGATGCCTGTAGTCCCAACTACTTGGGAGGCTGAGGCAAGAATCTCTTGAGCCCAAGAGTTTGAAGTTACTGTGAGCTCTGACGCCAAGGTACTTTGCTGAGGACAACATAATGAGGTTCTGTCTCAAATAAAAAAAAAGAAAGTGTGTCAAGAAGTGACATTTTCTTTCATAACATAATTTCAGAAACTATATATCAAACTGTGTACATCAAAATGTCAACATCTTATCTGAGAACCTTACCCATTGACAGAATAGATACTTTATGCTTCATTTAATTAACACTGAGGTAATTTTAAATTGCTCCTTCCCTCAATTTTATAGTTGGTTTCATGTATATATAGTATGTAAATTATATACTTACATGTTATATAAAATGCACATCTTAGTATATTATAGGCCTTGGCCTTTGGAAGATGTTTGTTTACCTAAACTTGGTAAATTTTTTTAATAGGATTAAAAGTAAATTGGATCAAGGAGGAGTGATTCAAGATTTTATTAATGCCCTAGAACAGCTCTCTAACCCTGACCTGCTCTTTAAGGTAATGGAATTGCTTTTAATATATTAACAACAGAACTTAAGTAAAACTTAGTTGTATTCTACTTTGACATTTTTCTTTTTTATTCTTTTTTATTTCCATAGGACTGGACCAATGATATAAAAGTTGAACTAGCACAAACCCCAGTAAATAAAAAAAAAATTGAAAAAATGTATGAAAGAATGTATGCAGCCTTGGGTGACCTGAAGGCTCCAGGCCTGGGGGCCTTTAGAAGGAAGTTTATTCAGGTATGAGTGTACTTGACTTTATCATAGCAGATTGTTGTGACTGTCGGTATTAACATTTGATCATTTGTTAACAGTCCTAGTTTAAAAATGTTGAATTTGTAAACACACTTTAGATCTGATGCTTTGTGTGAACATTGAGAAGCCAGGGTCAGGTCAGGGTGTCATTACTTTCTGTTCTTTGTGCTCAGAGTCTTAGATTTGAAGGTTATATGTGATTTAGTCCTTTTAATTCTCTAAATGATTTGAATATTGCATCAAGAAAATATTTGTATCTTATATAAGTAGATAAATATTTTTAAGCATTTCTCTAAGTTCAGGGCATGATCTGAGATGCTCAGGAGATAAATGGAAAAGATAGACCCAGTCCCCAAGTCCCAGGATATTGAGCAACATAACCCTTACAAAGAGTTTTGCCCAGGACAAGTGTGATAAATGTAAGATTTGTTTTCAAATCACACAGCATCCTTAGGAAGGCATCCCTGGGTGAGTGGGGCATCTGGACTCTGCCCATCTGTCTGGTTGCAGACTTCAGGGGTCACCGCCAGCCTCTGTTTTAGAGCCTACCCTGACCCTCCACCCTTCATTCTGCTCCAGAGAGAAGGCAGCTTTCCCCCCCTCCTTCCTTCTTGCCTAGAGCACCTACATTAGAATGTCTCCCTTTTAGCATTCGGTCATACTGATAATTTTTCCCCAATTTTGGTCAAACTGTCTATATATTAAACCTTAAGAAGTTTCAGGGCATAGAGGCAATGAGAAGTCTCTGTCTTCATTTTCCAGAGTTCTTAAGTTCCAGTCTGTAGTGCAAAGGAGGATGTTGGTCCTTTAGGTTTTTTTTAATAACTGCTCAATTAAGGTATGTCACACACCCCTAATTCATCTATTTAAAGTAGGCAATGCAGTAATTTTATTGTACATTCCTAGGGTTGTGAGACCATCACATCAATTTCAGAACATTTTTATCACCACAAGGAAAACCCCCCCCATTTACTAGCAATTATTCCCCATTACCAGCCCCTGGCAGCCACTAAACTTCTGTCTGTCTCTAAGGAGTTACCTGTTCTGGATATTTCATATAAATGAAATCATTTTGCTTGATAGTTTCTAAGTTCTCCCACTTTGTATCACAGCTCAGTGCTGTGCTCCTTTGCGTTTGCTGGGCTCACCTCACTCAGTGTGCAGCATCTGTCCTGCCGTCAGCCAGTGGCCCTGGGGACCACCCAGCTGGTCACTCCTGCACATCGTGCGGCTATGCACAGGTTTTTTGGCTCTTGTGGCCCATCCTCAAGAGGTAAAGCCACTTTGATGTTTAACTGTTCCTACCTTTTTGCTTCTTGAATTAGATTTGCAGGCAGAGGTTTTATTTTGTTCATCTTTGTCTCTCTCCACTACCTAGCATTGTTTGGTGTGAAACAGGCATCTTTGGTTAGATGAATGAATGGTAAAACTTTTGATAAGTGAAAACCGATTTTGGAGGCTCATTCCTACTTGAGGTCACTTAAGTTAAAAGCGTGAATGCCACTGCACACAGGACTGTCCATGGCTAAGTGACCTAGGACATACCCTGCACATGAAGGCCACACTTTGCTTCTTGACCCATCAGATGCTGTGTCATGTCTGTGCTGTTGCTCTCCAACATGCCAGGGCCTCAGAACAGGCACTGTACACACTGGGTAAATGAACACGCACCCATGCTGGGTGCAGTGTGTCCCCAAGTATAACACACACCCACATTTGGGGCCCAAACTTCCAGGTAAAAAATCTTTTGTTTTAATTTTTTTAATTCAAATTCAAGGCTTAAAACTTGCATTATGCAAAAACTATTTCAACTTTTCCCAAGAGATTTTCCAATAATTTTTGTAAAAATATCAACTAGATTGCTAGCTCCTACTTAAAGTATGTGAAGAGAAATAGAGGAGAAATACATCAAATATACTTCTCTTTACTGTCTGAAAATGCAAGGTCATCATAAGTTCAAAAACACTTTTAACTGTATTCCAGGGTATTTTGCATACAGATATAGTAACTGCTTCCTAGAATTATATTTTTAATGCATGAGCATAAATATAAAAATTAAAAACATTTATATAGATACAGAATTAGCACTACCCATATATAATGCACATCCTTGTTTCTCTCTCAAAAAATCAAGGCAAAAAGTGCACAGTTATATACATGCCCCAAAACGGTAAGTTCTACGAAAGATTAATGTGCCAACATTGATACAGTTTATACAATGGTAGAGTGGACTTAGAAAAGTGTTTATTCTCTCGTAAGCCCTGACCTGCATGCTCTTTCTATAAAGACCTAAGTTTTGGCGTTGTAGCCACACAGTCACCAGAATGTGTCTGCCATAACTGTGCGAAAGCAGCCCACAGCGGGCAGGCTGGACGGGCTGGATGGGCTTGCAGACTTTGCCAGACCTTGTTGCGAAGACACTGGAGCTGAGTGGGCAACTCACTCAGTGTTGATGGGGACACAGGACACTGAAGCCAGGGCTGCAGTGGAAAGCATTGCATTAGCAGCTCTCTGTCCCCTCAGCCAGTCTGAGGGAGTTCTCACATGGAAGAATTCTATGCAGACCACAGCAAAGACTGCATGCTATTTCTGAATTCATGGCCACTGCCTTTCCCTATAGGTGCTGTGAGATAGCCCTATAATCTGCCAGCGGAACCCAGGCCTTGGAGTGCAGAGATCCCTGCACTGTTCTTCCAGCCTTGCGATGTGCTCAGAGTTTAATTTCTTGTGCCTTAAAATATCGATCCAGAACTTTCTCTGTGGTACCAAATGAACAATAATTTGCATCAATTTAAACAATAATGTATCAAAACAGGTTGCCTCAGATTTCACTTCAGAGGGTTCCTAAGGGCAGTATGCCTCTTGGATGCGATGGTGGTACTCGTTATTTCTGGAAAGTAGCTGGTCTTCCCATGTATTCTAAGAGTTGAAGATTGTTTCTATATTTTTAATCCGTTTATAAATTAAAGAAGAGATTAGTTTCAAAGAAGAAATGTCAGTTTTCCTATAGTGGATTGTCTTAAAATAGAGCATCTACTTCATTTATACCAGATTTATGTTATGGCATTAGTTCTAAATTTGGTTTAAATTTTTTTAAATTATTATTTATTTAAATACTAATTTTAATTAATTTAACTTAATTATTTAAATTTTGGATTAATAAGGGTACATATGATCAGGGCACAGTGTTTGCATTTGTTACATAGTGTCTGAGTTGTAGTTGGGCTCCTCACTCAGAAGCTGTGCCTGTCAGGCACTTAAATCCTGTTCCTTTCTTCCCCTTCCCCCCTACTTGAATTTAATTGTGCTTTTCTCTCAACAGGGCCTGTAGTTGTTCAGCTACTAGTTTCAAATTAGTATTGAGTACATAGGGCAATTGCTTTTCCATTCTTTTTTTTTTTTTTTTTTTGGAGACAAAGTCTCACTGTGTCTCCCTCAGTAGAGTGCTATGGTGTCACAGCTCACAGCAACCTCTAACTCTTGGGCTTAGGCAATTCTCCTGTCTCAGCCTCCCTACTAACTGGAACTGCAAGCACCCACCACAGTGCCCAACTATTTTTTGTTGCGGTTGTCATTGTAGTTTAGCTGGCCCCACTAGGTTCAAACCCGCCACTCCTTTGAGTATATAGCTGGCACCCTAACCACTGTGCTGCAAGCACCAAGCCTGCTTTTCCCTTGTTGAGATACTTTACTGAGGAAAATGTTCTTTAACTTCATCCAGGTAAATATAAAAGATGTGAAGTCTTTTTATGGCTTAATAGTATTCCACGGTATACATATACCACAGTTTATTAATCCATTCATGGGTTGATGGGTTCTGGGGTTGTTTCCACATCTTTGCCCTTGTGAATTGAGCTGCTTTAAATATTCAAGTGCAGATGTCCTTGTGATAAAATGGTTTTTTTTTTCTTCTAAGTAAGATACCTGGTAATGGGATTGTGGAGTCAAATGGAAAGTCTATTTTTAGCTCCTTAAAGATTTTCTATGCTTCTTTCCAAAGAGGGCATATTAGTTTGCAGTCCCACCAACAGTGTATAAACGTTCCCTTCTCTCCATGTCCACACCAGCATCTGCAGCTTTGGGACTTTGTGATATGGCCTCATATCACTGGTGTTAGGTGATGTCTCAAGGTTGTTTTGATGGGCTCTCATGACTAGGAATGATGAACATTTTTTCATATGTTTGTTGCCCGTTCATCTGTCTTCTTCATTGCCCAGCAATTAATTGGTTTTTTGGGCGTTTTCTTATTAATTTTCTTAAGTTTCTTTGTAGATTCTGGGTATTAGCCCTTTGTTGGATTTGTAGATATCTTCTCCCATTCAGTAGATTGCCTCTTTTCTTTGTTTATTGTGTCCTTATCTATGCAGAAGTGTAAAAAAATTTCTAATTAAAGATAATCATGGAAATCTTGACTATTGAGTTTCTGCTAGATACTCATGTTTATTTTTAATTGGACAGACATAAGGATTAAAATTCAAATAAATATCCGAGTAGGGGCCAATACAAAGAATTTGATATATTCCAAGGTAGAGTACTTTTAATAATAATTGTTTTGAAAATAGAGATTATCTAAATAGTGTTGGTACTTGGTATATGAGCCAAAATAATGGCGTGTAGGACCTGTCTCAATCAAGCAGTATTCTTACATTATTCCCAGCTAATATGAAGAATTACAGGCTATTTGTTTTAGTAAGCTGGTCTCTTTTTTTTGTTTGTTTTGTTTTTAACTTTGTTCCTGATTGTTCATGTCATTAAAATCACGTAGACTTATAACTGGACAGTGGCACACAGAGGTTAGATGACTTTGCTAAGGTTGTGAAGCTCTTTTTAGAATTTATAACTAGAAGTTACCACTAACCATGTTATTTCTAAAGGGACACAAGAAGCAAACAAAAGGTCACCTCCAGATGCTTTGAATATTGAAATATTCACGGAAAGCAAAACTATAAAAGCATAGAAGAAAGCTGTATAATTGGGTACTTGTTTATTACAAACATTATAAAAGTTCAAACTAAACTCTAATCTTTACTGTAAATTATTAATTTCAGGCCTTTGGGAAAGAATTTGATAAGCACTTTGGGAAAGGAGGCTGTAAGCTGCCAGACATGCAGCCGGGCACTTTCGCCAACATCACCAATGCACTGCTGAGCCGCATGGGCCCAGCCTCAAGGCCGCCCGGCAACCTGCATGAGTGCTCACCCTGGATGAGCAGTTTCCAGGTGGAGTTCCTCAGACAGGAGCTTGAGGTTCCTGGTGAGTCACTTTAGGGTGGCGGGTTGTGTTCAAGGATAACGGTGCTGTAGCAGAAACTCCTGTTTTCTGAAATAATGATATTGGATCTTGACGTTCTTTCTCTTTTAAGGATTTGAAATTTCACTGCTGAAAAAAATCAAGATTACTAATTAGTGTACTTTACTAATGCCTGATGAGATTATAGTTTCCTTATATTCCTGATTATAACAAGTGTTCAGATTTCCATTTAGTAATAATGATAATCCGTAATTAGATTTCCTCTGAATATATTCATGCTTTGCTCCTGAAAAACCTTTCAGAAATAGGTATAAATGCAGCTTGCTTCCTGGAATTTGCCAGAGGAAAAAAAAAATTATTCTGGCCATTCACGTTTGTTCTGGAAGGTATAAGAAAGCATATTTGGAGACATTTGTGTGTTAATAACAGCAGTTGCAGTCTGTGGAAAAACTCATGAGGCTTAGTCTGTGAGGCTCATGACGTGCATCATGGTTCACCTTGAATAATGCAGTTTTCTAGTCTTTCTTGTTTTTCTATTTGGAATTTATCTGTGCTCAGAGAACAGGAAGCTAACTTCCATTCAGTCAAATTGAGGCATGATAACATTTTTAAAAAGCATAAATCCATTTCCTTTAAATGAAAACTTGTGGTAAAAAATTTTACTGTTAGTTTATTTGCTAGATCAACAGACATGTTTTGAATTACACAGGCTAACAGGCTGTACATAAACAAGGCTGTCTGCTCTGTTTCAGGTCAGTATGATGGCAGGGGGAAACCATTGCCTGAATACCACGCACGCATTGCTGGGTTTGACGAGAGGGTAGGTGTGAGGGTTTGTAGCCTGTCACTGCCATGGTGTGCTTCTTCAGATGTGAAAATAATCTATTTGTATTTATTAAAAAAGGAAAATTAACTTCCTGTGTTGACCTCAAATGTGTGGAGTTTTCTGATTCTATTGTTTACTGAATTTCTTAACATAGTATCTGCAGAATTTCAACAACAATTATACTGGCTCGGCGCCTATAGCTCAACCAGCTAAGGCGCCAGCCACGTACCCCTAAGGTGGCAGGTTCGAATCCCCAGCCTGGACCCGCCAAACAACAATGACGGCTGCAACCAAAAAAAATAGCTGGGCATTGTGGCGGGCGCCTGTGGTCCCAGCTACTTGGGAGGCAGAGGCAGGAGACTCGCTTGAGCCCAGGAGTTGGAGGTTGCTGTGAGCTATAATGCCACAGCACTCTACCCAGGGGGACAGCTTGAGGCTCTGTCTAAAAAAAAAAACCAAAAACAATTATACTTAAGGATCTAATAAACCCAGAGAGTAAACTTTAGGCATCCATTGTAAAATACGTGTAGAATTACCTTCCTATGGAAAATCTACACATTAGCTTTGCTTGCTGCTAAGGATATGCGCGTTTATAAGTAATTATTCATGACTAGGAATACAAAGTGACTGCAGTGCAGCAGTCCAGCTGGCTTGGTGACAGAAATATCTCTCTGGCACTGGAGTCTGCTGGCCTGGTGTTCTGTTCTTCTCAGCTGACTGTCCATCAGAGGTCTCTCTATGAGGCACGCACACAACCAGCCTTAACTTTTCCACTCTTGACGGTTGATTTCAAAGGTAAAAGTAATGGCCTCCCTCAGAAAACCGAAGCGCATTGTTATCCGAGGCCACGATGAGAGAGAATACCCTTTCCTGGTGAAGGGGGGTGAGGACTTGCGGCAGGACCAGCGCATTGAGCAGCTCTTCCAGGTCATGAACCTCATCCTGTCCGGTGACGCTGCCTGCAGTCAGAGAGACATGCAGCTAAGGACATACCGTGTCGTGCCCATGACCTCCAGGTGCGTCTGGGTCTAGGGGACACTTGTAAGCAGGGCTGTGGATCCCACAGAAAGAGCGTTAGCAGAGCTGTTGGACACCCTACACCAAGGGGGAAGTGAGTGGAGAATGAGTGAGAAATCCCTTCTGCTCTGCTTCTATAGGACTTTTTTCTACTGAGGAAAAAACAGTTCGGATTTATTTGTAAATTTTTTTTTCTTTTTTTTTTGAGACACAGTCTCACTTTGTCCCCCTCGGTAATGTCATGGCGTCATAGCTCACAGCAATCTCAAACTCTTGAGCTCAACTGATTCTCTTGCCTCAGCCTCCCGAGTAGCTGGGATTATAGGTGCCCCCCACAATGCCTGGCTAGTTTTAGACACGGGGCAATCCACTCGCCTACCAGAGTGCTGGAATCACAAAAGTGAGCCACTGTGCCAGGCCTATTTATAAACTTTTTTCCCTCCTTTTCAGATTAGGATTAATTGAATGGATTGAAAATACTATCACCTTGAAGGACCTTCTCTGGAATAGCATGTCACCAGAGGAGAGAGCAGCACACTTGAGGTAACATGAGCCAGGCCACTCCTCCTTCAGCTCGGCCACCCAGCCTGCTCTTTCATCTGCTTTGCCTGGGTGAATTAATGCAGTGCAGAGTATAAAACAGCAGTATTAAACAACAAAAAACATTAACTTTGTAAAAGGAGAAAACTTGAATTAAAAATAAGATTAGCAGCTAACATCTAATTAGACATTTTCTGTATGCTGGTCACTGTTCTCAGCTCTTCCTGCTTCTGAACTCCCTCACTTCTCACAGCAGCCTGCAGGGTAAGTGCTGTTACTGCTTCTGTACAGACGAGGAGGGTAAGCCCCAGAGAGCTGAAAACGCATCCTCCGCCCCCCAGCCTGCACTCGGGGCAGCTGAGGCCAGTGATTAATTCTGTGTCACAATATGGGTGCTTTTGCTTTTGCTTTATCCTTTTTTGTATTTTCCAAGTTTTCTCCAGTGAACATGTATTTTTATTTGCTTTTTGTTTCTGTAAAGAAAAATAAGAACAGGTGTGATCGAGTAGTGAACGTCAAGTTGACAGATTTTGGTGATGAGCTACAGGATGAAGGAAGAGGAAATGGTCAGAAATAGCCACAAAGCCTATCTCTCTTCCTTATCCTCTCATTCTTTCCTAAAAGTATTTCAACAGGAGCAACATTCTCATCAGTCAGGAACAATTTCTGAAAAAAATTAAGCATATTCTTATCAAACTCATATTCCCAGGTAATAGTTAGCTAAATATGGCAGTGCTCACCAACTTTTAATTTCACACATTTGAGGCTTTTGCCTATAATTGTTTCTGTTTTACCTAGAAGACAGAGAAACTGATCAGCACTACTTCTTGGAATCATAAATTCCACCTCTTGCCCTAACACTGATGTTCTAACTCACAGTGGGAGCTCTGAGCAGGTGTGCTGTTTCCCAGCTGCTGCACCCCCGTCTGTGAGATGCATGAGGTGGAGAGAGGCATTGGTAGAATTGGAAAGTGGAGTTGCATAAATAACTTAGGACCAGCAACCTCAAACTCCTAAGCTCAAGTGATCTCCTGCCTTAGCCTTCATGTAGCTAGGACAGTAGGCACCTGCCACAACACCCAGTTAGTTTTTCTATTTTTAGCAGAGACAAGATCTTGCTCAGGCTGGTCTTGAACTCCTGAGCTTAGGCAATCCATCCACCTCAGCTTCCAAGAGTGTTAGAATTACAAGTGTCCTCATGCCTGGCAGGACTACCTTAAATTTATTTCAGGTTAATGTGAGGGTATAAGCAACCAGGTCAAAATACTTGATTTTGTTAGGTAGAGTTTATCTTGTGGTTATGTCCAACACACAAAAGATATGCACCCCCCTACCAACCTATTCAGTGAGAGTACCCCAACTCCCTCCCCCTAGGACTACCTTTTTCTTTTTAAGAAACAGAGTCTCACTTTGTCACCCTCAGTAGAGTGCTGTGGTGTCACAGCTCACAGCAACCTCCAGCTCTTGGGCTTAGGCAATTCTCTTCCCTCAGCCTCCTGAGTAGCTAGGACTGCAGGCACCCACCACAACACCCAGCTACATTTTTGTTGCAGTTTGGCCAGGGCTGGGTTTGAACCTGCCACACTTGGTATATGGAGCCAGTGCCCTACTCACTGAGCCACAGGTGCTACTCCCTAGAACTACCTTTTTAAAACAAGGCACTTCAGCCCCCTCCTAATAAAATCATTGCTGTTTTTTTCTTAATTTAGCATAACCTAAGAATCTTTATCTTTTTACAACCTAAGAATCTTGGTCTCAAAAAAAAAAAAAAGAAAGTAAGAAATTTCATCTTAGTTTAAACTAAGAAAATTGTGATTATGTATGATGGAGTGACGTATTTAAGTAGCAACTCAGAAAAGATTCACTTTATGTAACTGAAGTAATTCCCATGTTCTGAAATTTCTCTATCTCTAGACTTTTAGGGGGGAAATTTATGAAAGCTTTTGGCAAAAACTAAGTACCTATACATATATATATCACAGAGTACCTTCTTCCTATGCAACATTATTAAACAGCTTTTCAAATTTAAGCATCTATTGTCATTTAAGAAAATACCTCATTATACTTAATATGGTTTTTGTGTGTAACTACATATGAAATGGTGCAAATAAGGACAAAAACAGACTTAATTCATCTTCCACAATCACTATGTGGGCTTTTTGCCTGTGGTAATGATGTGGCCCTACTGCCCTGTTTTCAGCAGCCGCCTAGGGTGCTGTTGGCCTCTTGTTATGGTTCTGTCCAGATCAGAGTTAACAGAACCGTGTGCCCAGCTAATACATGCTGATGTTTAGCTCATCTTATTCTCTCTGTATGAAGCAGGAAATTTATCGTATCTGATTGTTTTGTTTGAATTTTTGCGTAGGAAATAGCTTGAGTGTCTGTGGGAGTAATTAAGAGTGAATATTGGCACATCGGAATTTTAGGTCCAGAATAACATGGATTCAGTGTTAACCTTAAATATAATCAAAAGTCATATTATTTTCTTCCTTCACTTTCACCATTTTCCAATGACTTTTCCCCTGAAATCATATAACACGAAATATCTTTCTAATGCAAATCCTCTTTTTCTACTTGTTAATGACCCCAGAGCACCAGTGGGTGAATATAAAGACTGGCTGGCAAAAATGTCAGGAAGACATGATGTTGGAGCTTATAGTCTCATGTATAAGTAAGTTTTTTTTTTTTAATTTTCTCTTGTATTAACTAGTTTATTAAAAGTTGCATATTTACTTTTGATTCTTAGAAAGTTTTGCCTCAGAGAGATTATCAACACCTAGTTATTTGATATTTGAGCTTCAGTATAAACAAAGAGTTTAAAACTTAAATTTCAAGTTACAAGAAATCTATTCCAATGAGATGTTTCCTATTATTAAATCACAGGAGAGCAAATCGTACTGAAACAGTCACATCTTTCAGGAAAAGAGAAAGCAAAGTGCCAGTGGGTCTCCTGAAGTAAGTATGTGCCTCTGACTTCATCACCATGTGGTGGCCCAACAGAGACTACAGACAGTGTCTTTCTTTCAGGCGGGCCTTTGTGCGGATGAGCACAGGCCCAGAGGCCTTCCTGGCTCTCCGCTCCCACTTCGCCAGCTCACATGCTCTGATGTGTGTCAGCCACTGGGTCCTCGGGATTGGAGACAGACACCTGAACAACTTCATGGTGTCCATGGAGACTGGTGACATGATTGGGATTGACTTTGGACATGCGTTTGGATCCGCTACCCAGGTGTGCTGCCCTCTTTCTTATCTGGGTAGCTGGGATTGTCTTGTGACTGGCAACCTCTAGAAATACATGCTTTTTAAAGAAGAAACGGCATTATCAGTTAGGTTAGTTTTGTTGTGGTCATTATACCTGACATTTGTAGAGAAAGGGATAGGGCCTACTTCATTTCGGCCTTGTTCAGATAGGTGGAGATAAATTATATAATCAGAGCCAGGAGTAAACTTGTCCTGTAAGCAAGTCAGGGCTCTGAGGAGATTAAAGAAGCCCTGTGATCAAAATGTGATACAGATTTTTTCTCTGATGTTAACCTCTGGATGTTTGGATCACACCACTAAGTCCCTCAAGCTCTGTGGCCCCACACACAGGACTTTGCATTGACAGGACGATACAAGCTGATGTGGTGATTACTTTTAGGCACAGTAATTCAGATCTCTGCAGCTAATTTCAAGAAAAGTAGAGTTTTTATTTTTAACTAAATGAATAATCGCTAGGAAAGGATGCTGCATTTGTGTCAATACTTTGAGATTTGTACTTTTTTCCATGCTTTTTTCTCTTACTCAGTTTCTCCCAGTCCCTGAGTTGATGCCTTTTCGCCTAACTCGTCAGTTTATCACTCTGATGTTGCCAATGAAGGAGACAGGACTTTTGTACTGTATCATGGTGCATGCCCTGCGGGCCTTCCGTGCCAACCCTGGCCTGCTCACTGACACCATGGATGTATTTGTAAAGGAGCCCTCCTTTGACTGGAAAGTAAGCTTTGTTTTGCATGTACTTTGCGTTTTCAGTATAATGTCCCAAGGACTGACCCAGTGTCTCTTGCAGAAGTGGTAGAAGTGTACCAAATCATATATATGAAAATATTTACATGGTTTTGTATAGCATTTCTCAAACTTAACATTTAGAATTGTTTGGCCTGAATACCAGTTAAGAAGCAAAATCTTTATTTGGGCTGGGTGGAGTGGCTCACACCCATAACTCCAGCACTTTGGGAGGCCAAGATGGAAGGATTGCTGGAAGCCAGGAGTTTGAGACCAGCTGGGCAATATACTAAGACCGCCCTCCCCTGCCAATTTACAAAAACATTAAAAATTATCCAGGCATGGTGGTGCACGCCAATAATCCTAGCTACTCACAAGACTGAGGCAGGGGGATCACCTCAGCCCAAGGATTCAAATTTAAAGTAAGCTGTAATCATACCACTGCCCTTCAGCCTGGGCACCAAAGTGAGAAAGACCCTGTCTCTTCTTAAAATAAATAAACCTTTATTTGGAGAAAACTCAGATTAAACAGAGTTATTTCTGACTAGGAAAGGGAATATGAACCTATTGGTGGTGGTAGATCTGATTTCTCTTTGATACAACTTTAAATTTAAAAACTTTTTCACTTGAGGGCTTCCTTGATAATACAGGTAGATGGTGCTTTCTAGATTACAGAGGCTGTCCTGGCACAGCCCCAAGGACTCAGGCCTCACATTGCTTCCTCTACAGGGACCAACCTGTCAGGCCTCACCAAAGCCTCCTGTGGTCTTTGTCACTGTGACAGTGCTGCATGAGAAGCTATCGAGCTATTCCTGGCTGTGGTTGAATGTGATTGTATATACTGGTAAAATAAACAGAAAATCATGTTTTCTTTTAGAATTTTGAACGAAAAATGCTGGAGAAAGGAGGATCATGGATTCAAGAGATAAATGTAACTGAAAAAAATTGGTATCCCCGACAGAAAATATGTTATGCTAAAAGGAAGTTAGCAGGTGCCAATCCAGCCATTATTACTTGGTAAGATTGTTATTTGTTGCAAAAAGCAAACAGAACACTAATGTGCTGCTGTTCCTTGAAGAACCAGTGTGTACACAAGGGGCTGGGTGCTGTGTGTGTGGTCTGCAGAACCAGCATGCCGGCCTTGCTGTGCAGACAAGAAGGTAAGGGGAGGCAGCTTCCCAGAAGGTAGACACTGCACTGGCTCAGGCTTAGTCTATTCCTGGAACAGCAGAGCTGGTCTGAGGAATGGAGGGGTATTCTTAAACAGTTGCCAGAATTTTGCTATATACATGAGGAGAGTTAGAGTTTAGATTTTCTTTTATCCTATTTTGGGTGTTTGATCTTGATGGGCTCAGCATGTAGGTGTGAAAAACACAGTGTGGGCTTTTTAGATGAGAATTGGGTTGGCCTTTTAGGTCAACTTATTAATTTCTCTTGTTGAGCTCTAAAGCCAATAGAAATGTATAAAGATGATTAAGTGGAAGGGAAAAAAAATGTTGGATTTTAGAATTAAGTAAATAGTAAATGGTAACCTATGGTCAACTTTTTTTTGACAATGATATATTCCATAAAAGATTGGATACTATTTCACACCATATGTAAAACTTAATTCAAAATGGACTAAAGAACTTAATCTCAGCTCAGTGCCTGTAGCACAGTGGTTACAGCACCAGCCACATACACTGAGGGAGGCGGGTTTAAACTTGGCCCAGGCCAGCTAAACAACAACAACTGCAACAAAAAATAGCCAGGTGTCGTGGCAGGTGCCTGTAGTCGCAGCTACTTGGGAGGCTGAGGCAAGAGAATCACTTGAGCCCAAGAGTTGGAGGTTGCTGTGAGCTGTGATGCCACAGCACTCTGCCGAAGGGCCATATAGTGAGACGCTAACACTCCTACATTTATGGGTAAACTTTCATGACCCAGTCACATAACTGATAAGGGACTCATATCTAGAGTACATTAAAAAACTGTTACACCTCAATATTGAAAAGACAAATAAGCCAATTTAAAAATGGTCAAAGGTCTTAAACAGACATTTCTCTAATGAAAATATACAAATGGGCAGGAAGCACATGAGAAAATGCTCCTGGCAGATATGAACAGGGAAATGCCAATGTGAGCACTTCTACCACCAGGGTGACTATGATCAAAAGTGGGGTGGAGCAGGTGCTGGGGGTTCTAGGGAGGTTAGGGCCAGAGCAAGACCCTATCTCTAAAAAAAAATAGCTGGGTGTTGTGGCAGATGCCCAGAGCCAGAGCGAGACCCTGTCTCTGAAAAAAATAGGTGGGCATTGAGGCGGGTGCCCAGAGCCAGATCGAGACCCTGTCTCTAAAAAAAAAAAAAAAATAGCCAAGCGTTGTGGTGGGCGCCTGTGGTCCCAGCTACATGGGACGATGAGACAAGAGAATCACTTGAGCCCAGGGGTTTGAGGTTACTGTGAGCTGTGGTACTATGGCACTCTACTGAGGGTGACAAAGTGAGACTGTCTCCAAAAAAAAAAAGTGAAATATGGGGTAGTTGTACGACCTGGAACTTGTAAATGAATGTTAGTAGCCACAACATTTGTGTTGTGTCCCCCACACATCTGATCTTCAACTGCAAGGTTATGAGCCACAGAAAATGTTAGGATGAGAAAGCAAAGATTTCAGGCAGCAGAGCAAAAGTAAGGTGTGGTTTGTGTTTTCACGGTTATTTCCTCTTTTTTCCAGTGATGAGTTACTTCTGGGCCACGAGAAGTCACCTGCCTTCAGGGATTACATGGCTGTTGCACGAGGAAGCAAAGGTCACAATATTCGTGCTCAGGAACCAGAGAGTGGACTTTCAGAGGAGATGCAAGTGAAGTGCCTGATTGATCAGGCAACAGACCCCAACATCCTTGGTAGGACTTGGGAGGGATGGGAGCCCTGGATGTGAGTCTGTGGGAGTCAGCAAATAATAAATTGTTTGAAGAAGCTCCCTAAACTCTCATCAGCTTCAATCAAGGAGCTGATTTTCCTGAAATGCTGAAGAGAAGAAATCTATTTAATGACACAGTTTTGTAGCATGAGTTTACTTGAAGATCAAGATGAGTAAATGAATATAGGTTGAATTAAAGAAGAGGTAAGGTTAGAAAATCCTGTATCCAGGCTCATCCAGCTTTAAACCAAGAATGTAGGATATGATCACCTTCCCAAGCATTTTGTAAGTGCTATAAGTCAGATAAACCAATGGGGTAAGTGTAAGCAATCCTTAGAGCATCCTCACTGGCAGTCATTCCACCAGACTTCATCACCAGGGTTTTGTGAGCATAAAGCCAAAGGTGTAGTGGACACGAGGAAAAATAGTTCAGCAGCACAGAAGTAACAGGAACAGCTGGGAAAGCTAGAATCACAGCATTCTCTGCCTAGAAATGACCACATTTGCTGTTTTAATTTCTCTAGGTTTTTCCCTTTCATATTATTCTCCTCTGGTTTTGACATTTTGTGATAACTTGCCCTGAAGAAGAGAAACACTTTTGTTCAGGGGCAAAAACCCAGGTCTTAGCGTTCACTCTGCTGCTGTAATGAGCACTGGAAGGTGCCATTACCACTTTACATCCCAGACTCAAGACAGCTTCAGAAACCCCACATGTGATGGGGAAAGCACTAAGTATTTCAGTACTAGGAAAATTCTATTTGAGATGAATTCCCATTTGGACAAAAAAGCGTGCCCTCTGGAAGTGCAAGGTCAAATTTTGTAACACGGCAGTGGTCCCTTCCCCATGGCCCTCTGTGCTCTGGGACTGTCAGAAGTTTTAGCTTTCTGGGGTTTTTTTTGTTGATGTTGTTGTTGTTTCTTCCTGCAAACACTTGAATTTGGAAATTTTACCATGATTTTTGGAAATAATCTTAAGGATATTTAATGATGGCCAGGCATGGTGGCCCACACCTATAATCCCAGCACTCTGGGAGGTTGTGGTAGACGGATTGCCTGAGCTCACAAGTTTGAGACCAGCCTGAGATACAGCAAGACCTTGTCTCTAAAAGTAGCCGAGCATTATGACAGGTGCCTATAGTCCTAGCTACTCAGGAGGATGAGGCAAGAGAATCGCTTGAGCCCAGGAGTCTGAGGTTGCTGTGCTATGAAGCCATGGCACTCTACCAAGGGTGACAAAGTGACATTGTCTCAAGAAAAAAAAGGATATTTAATGATAAAAGTTTTTGCTAAAAGTAAGGTATAGCTCAAGAGCAAAATATTCATCTTAAAAAGTTTATTACTTGCCAAGTTTATTCTGATACATACAAGTTTATCAGAATACATTACAGAATTGAAAACATTTATGATCTCAAGAAATATTATATTGACCCAAATAAATTTTATCTTTAAAGAAAGGTAATTATGTATGTGAAAATGGAATAAATATAATTTAGTAAATATTTTTACTATAGCACAAAAATAACCAAAATAAGTCTGCTTTGGAGTAATTATAATTTTTTTTAAATAATGTTTTCTATAACTAATTGGCTGTAACTTTCACTTGAGTCCTGATAATTTGTATTATATTCATAAGCTGTATTATTGGAAACCTATTTCTTAATGACTACTTTTCATATTAATATAAGTTGGTTATTCCAAGTTCACTGTGTATATAGGTACAATCGCAAAGCTGCTCAAAAAGCCCATTGCAGCTCGTGAGAGAGCAATAAAAAGGAATCATCACTGTGCCCAGTACTCAAGAGGCCTGGGTGATGCTCATCCTCAGCACACTCTGACCCTAGACTGGGCCACACTTCAGCCTATGATTCTTGTTGTATAAGGATATTTGGTTTGGAAACTGAGAAATAAAAAAAGACACCTCTTACTGATAATGTTTGTGAGAAAATGGGAATTAAGAGTATTTTCATTAAGCATGTTATTAAATTATTAGGCATTTTAATTTTCTTTTTAAAAAGTAGAAGGCTAATACATTTTTAGAAGTGTAAGAGTTCAAAGGCAAGCAGAGTGTTTTTCCCAGAAGCAGAAGATATTGAGCCACTTTCTTTGCCTCAGACTAGACCTGTGCCTCAGGGAGGTACAGCAATTGGGCCTCCCGCACATTCTGAGTTCCATGCACCAGGAATGGGGAGACAGGTCTCAGGCAGCAAAGCTTTAGTAAAACTTAACATCTAAAGCACACCATGTCCTACCACTGGGCTTAATTCTGCATTCTTTATGCTAATTTTTTATATAATAGATTAGGTCTAGCTATTTTTTAAAGTTTTGCAAATACATGAATTTACTAATTATAAATAGATTTTGACATTATATACAGGTTGCATGTGAAACAAATGTGTGTTTTTCAACTCTAGAATAATCCAGGACAGTTCAGATTCAAACTTGATGAAGACTTGAACAATTATATGCTTATGAATATTCACTTTGGTATTTCATCAGACTATCAGACCATAAGCTCTGCTGGACAAAGACTTTATCCTGATCCCTATGTCTCAGCACCTATCAGTCAAGTCAGTTTCAGATACCATAGAATTAGAAAATGTTTTTTAAATTCATTCTGCCAATCTCTTTATTGATGAGTTAAACAATGAGTGTTTGAAGTGACTTCTGATTAGGGAGCACTTGTGGCCTTTCATCATTATTTGTTCCATCTCTTTTCCCTGACTTCCTGATTTTCCTAGTATACTGTTTACTGGAAGTCCCCCCTTGTTTCCCTTTCTGTGTATTTTTTTTCTTGGTGGTTACCCTGGTGATTATAACAACAGACATGACTCAGCTTCAGCAGCACACAAAACTCTGTCTTCAGAGCTCCATTCCCTCTCTCACTTTTTTTTTTTTTAAGATAGAGTTCTCTCTCTTACCACCCTGGGTAGAGTGCTGTGGCATCACAGCTCACAACAACCTCCAACTCTTGGGCTCAAGTGATCCTCTTGCCTCAGCCTCCCAAATAGCTGGGACTACAGGCACCTGCCACAACACCTGGCTACTTCTGCATTTAGCAGAGACAGGGTCTCTTGCTCAGGCTGGTCTCCAACTCCTGAGCTCAAGCAACCACCTGCCTTGGCCTCCCAGAGTGTTAGGATTACAGGTATGAGCCACTGTGCCCCACCAATAGTACTTTTTTTTTTTTTTTTTTTTTGAGACAAAGCCTCAAGCTGTCCCCCTGGGTAGAGTGCCGTGGCATTACAGCTCACAGCAACCTCCAACTCCTGGGCTCAAGCGAGTCTCTTGCCTCCGCCTCCCAAGTAGCTGGGACCACAGGCGCCCGCCACAACGCCCGGCCATTTTTTGGTTGTAGCCGTCATTGTTGTCTGGCGGGTCCGGGCTGGGGATTTGAACCCGCCACCTCAGGTGTGCATGGCTGGCGCCTTAGCCGGTTGAGCTATAGGCGCCTAGCCCAATAGTACTTTTTAAAATGACTTTTCTGAACTTTCTGCAAAGGCTGTATTCTTTGTCACATGTGTCACTGAAATCTGTTCAGTATTTCACTGGTGAGCCAATGATGGGACAGCGGTTTCTTTAAAACAAAAAGCACCAAAGTGGGGAACACTTTCCTGTACTTTGTAGGCTACCTGGCCAGGCTGCAGCTGTGCCCCTTGCTGGCAGAGGTTCCTTGGGCCTTGGTAGCACTCACTCTGCTTAGCTGCCTACAAGCAGCCAGCTCTTGCTACTCACCCCATCCACCTTCCTGTCCCCTGGTGCCTGCTAGTTGTACATGCCTTTATTTTTATTTGATGCACAATGTATGTATTTATGGAGCACATGTAATATTTCGTTACACGTATACAGTATGTGATGACCAAGTCAGGGTCATTGGGGTATCCATCACCTCAAACATTTATTATTTCTTTGTGTTGGGAACATTCCAATCTCAACTCCTTGAGTTATTTTGACATACACATGAAGTTGCTGCTGACCATAGTCGCCAGATTGTCCCCCAAACACTAGATCTTACTCTTTTCCCCTGACTGATGTGCCCTGTAAGCTGTGCCCCACCCTTCCCAGTCTCTAGCAACCATCATTCCACTTCCAACTCTAGACCCATTTTCTTAGCTCCCACACAGAAATGAAAACATGCAATATTTGTCATCTGTGCCTGGCTTATTTCACGTAATATAGTGTCCTCCAGTTCCAACCATGTTACTGAAAATGACAGATTTACTTCTCAATTATGGATGAATAACAGCCCATGTGTATGTGCACCATGTTTTCTTCCTTCATCATTGGTGGACCCTCAAGCTGGTTCCTTGTCTTGGCTATTATGAATAGTGCTGGGATGACGTGGAAGTGCAGATATCTCTTTGATAGACTGATTTCCTTTTGGATACATACCCATAGTGGGATTATTGGGTCATATGGTAATGCTACTTTTAATTTTTTTTTTTTCCCCCAGACAGGGCCATGAAATCCTGACCTCAAGTGATCCTCCTGCCTCAGCTTTTCAAGTGCTGGGATTATAGAAACGGCCCACCACAGCGGGCCTCTATTCCCCTCCATGCTATTGTTAGTAGTGGCAGTACAAACTAACGCTGCCACTGGCAGTGTGAAGGCTCCCTTTCTCTGCATCTTCAACATTTGTTGGCTCGGCGCCTGTGGCTCAAGTGGCTAAGGCGCCAGCCACATACCCCTAAGGTGGCGGGTTTGAATCCAGCCCGGGCCTGCCAAAAAACAATGACAGCTGCAACCAAAAAAGAAGCCAGGCATTGTGGTGAGCACCTGTGGTCCCAGCTACTTGGGAGGCTGAGACAGGAGACTCGCTCGAGCCCAGGAGTTTGGAGGTTGCTGTGAGCTGTGATGCCATAGAACTCTACCCAGGGTGACAGCTTGAGGCTCTGTCTCAAAAAAAAAAAAAAAAAAAAAAAAAAAAAAAAAAAAAAAACATTTGTTACATTTTGTCTTTCTGACAATGCGAGGACATGGGATGACGTGACGTTTCACTGTGGCTCTGAATTTCATTTCTCTGATGATTAGTGATGTTGAGCATTTCTCATACATCTTTTGAGAAATGT